CCGCAGCCTGTCGCTCCTCGGGCGGCCGCAGCGAGGCCATGAAGGTGAAGAAGGGCGGCGGAGGGGCGGCCGGAGCTGGGGCCGCCGCGCCCGCCTGCACCGAGGAGGAGCTGCGGGGACGCCGCGCCGGCATCAGCCCCGAGGACGTGCTGGGGCTCCAGAACATCACGTCCGGTGAGCCCCGCCGCCGGGGAGAGGGAGAGGGAGAGGGAGGGGGGCGGCCAGCCCCAGGGTCTCCTTTCTCGGCGGAAGCGGTGGAGAGATCGCGGCCTCCGGGGGCCAAGCGACGGCGGGGTTGCGCCCCCTCCCCGGGGGCAGCCTGCCGTTTGCATGGGCCCCGGAGGGGACCGCCGTCGCCCGGGTTTCCCAGAGGGTAGCTGCCGGTGGAACTCCAGGCTCCGGGAGGGTTTGGGGCTTTTGGAACTCGCGGCTACAAGATCTTTCTTCCCGGGCCCAGAAAGGGCGATGTTGGTAGAGTCTTGCCTCTAAATATGGTGCAAGGCTTGCGCACAGGTCACCGGGAAAAGGGGCCCTTTGGGTTGGGCCAAGATGGGGTGGGGGTGTGAATAAAGCCGCCCGCAAGATTGAGCCGGGTAGAATCTGGAAACCCCTGCCCGTTTGGCCACAATTCGCTTTTTTGGGGGGGGGGGGGCACACGCTTCCCACGGGAACAGATTTCAAACTGGGCTGGCTGTTGCATCAAAAACTAAGCTGGAATCCCGTGGCACCCGCACATCTCTCTTCCCAGAAGATTGTAGAGGTGCCAGCCTCCAGGTGGAACCTGGGGATCCCCAGGAATGACACTTCGTCTCCGGACTACAGAGATCAGTTCCCGTGGAGAAAATGAATGCTTTGGGGGGTGGACTCTAAGGCATTGTCCCCCACTGAGGTCCTGGTCCTCTCCAGGCTTCCTCCCGAAATCACCAGGAGTTTTCCAACTTGGATCTGACAACTGTACTCTCCCATCCCCCAGTGGTGGTGGGGGGGAGAGGTGTGGCCTAGCAACTCTGTCTGTAGTCTTTCGGGTGGCACCGGACTGTTTTTCCAGATGTGTGGGATGTAGAGTGCCCTCATTGTAGTACTGGGCTCTTCTCTAACTTGTAGCACGTCGAAGGAGTGATACTGATTAAAGTCTCCTTTGCTCCTCGTGTTCCACTTCCCACAGCTTTTGACACTAGCTCAAATCCCTCTCTCTGTTTGTGAGAATGCTACGGGGGTGACCTTTCGTGACCCGTTGGTTGTATGATATGCACATGGCCTTGAAATTTCTCTGCCTCTTGTAAGGCCGCAAGCCGCACCTTTCCTTTTCGAGATTCCAGCAGTTTGGGGGTAGAAAATGTGAACCACAGAAAGAAAGGCCGCCTGTCCAGCAGCAGGAGACCAGCTCTCACAGGCTGAGAGCAAAATGGCTGCCGGTGGCTCGAGCAAGTAAGCCAAGCCCAAAGGCCATCTATACATTGAGGAAGAAGGCCAAGGCCGCACGGCATGCTTTAATCTCGATGGGGCGTCTTCTCCACAAAGCAGTCTGGATCTTTCAGTCTTGCATGGGAGAATCCATCCCTCTTAGAAGCTGGGGGTTTGTCGGCATGGCTATTGGGCACTGCGATTGTGGGACTTCATCAAGCCCTATCAAGGGGCTTCTCTTCAGCAGGCCTTGTGACCCCCCTGTCCTTAGTGGTGGGCCGGTCCATCAGAGGCCCTTGGGTGTCTTTTAACTCCCCGGGGTAAACACATACACACAATTTGTGCTGCTGCCCCATATTCCTGCCCAAACCCTAGGAGCGGAGTCTGGGTGGTGCAGAACTTCTTCCGGGTGGGGACGAGGAATGCTACCCCAGGTTATGAATGGGTGATCCATTCTGAGCCTCACCTGTGTGGATGGAATGACCGAGCAATCAGAGTATCTACATCAGAGTTGAGCAGGAGTCCCTTTCAGCCAGCCCCAGCCACGCGGCTTTGCACCCTTTGCCCTTTCCAGCACCTTGCCCTTCGAGGCCTGGCATTTGCCAGTCAGGGGAATAGGATGAAGAGCAGAGTTGGTCCCCAGGTGGCAAAGAGAACTGTTCCCTCCGTCCCCCCCCCCCCCCCCCTGGTTTTGTTGAGAACTTCCTGGACTGTTCCGCCACACCAGGTGCTATTTCCTTGCTCCCGGCCCCCAGCGTTGGCATCCCCCAAACTCTGGGTTTAAGCAGAAGGGAAACTCTGCCTTGAGAGACCATCCTCCAAAGAACCTGATGAGATGGGATTACTCAGGAGGAGGGGCAGCTCCTTCTGCTGACCCCATGGCTGCTGATTGTGGTTATTTAGTGCCATCTGGATAGCACTGTGCACATTGGCGGCACTATGGTATTAATAATTAAGTAATTTCATTAATTAATGCGTTATAGAGTAACCGAGTAAGGAGTGGGAGGGGCCGTCGTGGCCGTCTCCCGTCAGGATGGTTTGCAGGGAGCTTCCACGGTATTTATTATAAGCAAATCGCTCCCCCATAAAAATTAACAGCGTCCGCCCCCACCATTTGCCCACCCCTCCTTGACCAGTGTTGTGTTGCATGTGTCGATCTGGCTTCTTGGGAGGGGGGGGTGTCCCCTGACTTCTGGGAGATGCTTCAGAAGTCTTGGATTGCCCCTCCCATTTGACCGTTCCTGGGTCCCCCCCCCTTTCCAGATCAGTTTGCTGTTTTTAGCACTCCTATCGCTGCCAGCAAACACTAGCTAATGAACTTAGCCAAATCCGCCGGGGGATAAGGTATGAGCTAGTTAGATGGGTGGGGAAGGTTTGTGGCATTCTCCAGTTGCCCCCACACGGTTCCAGGCATACCTGGAAGATATCGGGGCAAGCGGCTGAGGAGACCTGCTATGTCGGTTGCGAAGGGCGCAAAGCCGCGTGGCTGGGGCTGGCTGAAAGGGACTCCTGCTCAACTCTGACGCAGATACGAGCTGAATTCTCCGTGTTGCATTTAAATAAGCCAAGGGCTGCCCTGCAATAAGCATGGGGTTCCTTTGGGGATCTCTCCCACCCCATGTCTCAGGGTCCTTCCCAGTTTGCAGAAGGCAGACCTGAGGCTGAGGAATGGGGGCTGCTTCCCAGGGAAGTCCCAGTGGAACTACCTTTGTGGAGCACCCATGGCATATCAGGAGCTATGCAGCTCGCAGATGTGACCAGGCCTCTGCTCAGAGGAAGGCAAATCAGTGACTAATCAATGAGTAACTTGAGGTCCTGTCACCTTCCATAGGTCCCCGTGCACCAACTACAGCCTTCAGGCAGCGTTCTGTTGGTTATCCCATAGAATCATGGAATGTTAGAGTTGGAAGGGACCTTGCTGGTCGTCTAGTCCAACCCCCTGCACTCTACAGGAGCATAGCCGAAAGAGAGCCCTACAACATACCCGAAAGACGGTCATCCAGTCTCCGCTTGAAAATGTCCAGAGAAGGAGCATCCACCACCTCCCGAGGCAGTCCACTGCTCAGCCACTCTTACAGTTAGGAAGTTTCTCCTGATATTTAGCCGGTATCCACTCCCTTATAATTTCCACCCATTAGATCTAGCAATCTGGAGTAAGAGAGAATAGATCTGTTCCATCTTCTACATGACAGCCCTTCAAATATTTGAAGGCTGCCCTGCAGTAAGACTGCATCCTTTAGGGTGGCCCATCCGGGCACCATCCAGCCTCCAGGTCTTGTTCTGTCCTGGTTTCGGCTCTGCGGAATGGGCTCCCTGGAGAGCTAAGGGGAGGTCCTCCTGGGCAAACTGGAGGAGGTGCTTGCAAGGCCAACCCCTGTTGGCCAGACCTGTCAAGGGAATTTAATTGGCAGGTACCTTTTGAGGGAGGGGTAGAGATTTGGGGTTGGGTATTTTATTTTTGGTTGTCATTGGGAATGTTTTGAGCTATTATTGTAAGCCATTTTGAACCACGAGGAAAGGCGGGACATAAATGTTTTGAACGAGTGAATACATAAAATAATTGGGATGGTTTGGGAGGCAGGTGGAAATGAGGCTTACAGGTGCATCGGAAGGGGGTCAGAGAAAGCAGAGAGAAGAGAAGAGAAGAAGAGATTGGATTTATATCCCGCTCTTCACTACCCAAAGGAGTCTCAGAGTGGCTCACAAACTCCTTCCCCTCCCGACATCAGACACCCTGTGAGGTAGGTGGAGCTGAGAGAGCTCTTGACAGAAACGGCTCTTTTTCAAGAACAGCTCTTGTCAGAACTACGACTTGCCCAAGGTCATCCAGCCAGGTGCTAGTGGAGGAGTGGGGAATCAAACCCGTTTCTCCCAGATTAGAGTCCGCACACTTAACCATGACCGGGGCTCTTTTTGTAGCAGGAACTCCTTTGCATGTTAGACGACACACCTCCAAGAGCTTACACCATGACACCAAACAGGCAGTGACTCTTGAGGGGCGGGGGGTTTGCAATAGAGGAGCCCCAGAGGTGTTGGATGTGTTTGCCTCCCACAGGTGGCTGCAGGAAGCACATGTGTAGGGATGTTGGATCTGTCCCCCCTCCCCCCCACGGCTGAGTTGGCACAACCTAGACTGAAGATCAAAAGAACCTAGTCCCTGGAGCCTTTGGGAGAAGGTGGTGGGAAGGGGGAGAAGAATAAAGGACCCTGTTCTCAGACACCTGACTCTGGTTCCCCGTGGTGGTGCTTACACGCAGCGGCCAAGGGTTGAAGCAGGATTCCATGCAGTTGGCTGCGTGGATTTGTGTTGTAAAGGAGTCCCACTTCAGCAGCACGGCTCGTATGCGCCATGCTTGCAGATTAAATCAGAAGGGGGTGGTGGTGGATCAACGGGGGTGCTTCGGTTTAACACAGGGTACTTCCTGTCTTTCTGGTTTTTGAGATTGTCCCAGCGTTCGTCCCCCTCCTGTTTTAAGCTCATCTTTTGCAGGCGGCCAGAGTTAGAAAAGACTTGTTTTTTAAGCGGAAGCCGGATCTTGCTCCTGCACTTTCCTGCTGTGGACGCCTTAGGCGGGCCTGCCTGAGCTCTGCAGGCACTGTGGACTGAAGTCTCCACTAGGTGTGGTTTCCTTTTCCTCTGCCAGGCAGGCCTTGTTTCTCTGAGTTGACTCAAGCCGGGTTTCCGGTGGGTAGGCTGAGGGGCGGTGTGGCTCCGGTCTGCTTCTGGCCCTTGCCTTCTGTTGGTCTCTGTCCTGAGTGCTAATCCCCTA